TGACTATTTGTGTAACCTTTTGGGATCCATCACATGCTCCACCAGTTCGTACGTTTGGCTTTCTTTTGCAGGCCAATGCAACAACCTTTCATAAGATTATAACACTCTGATGTTAATATGAGCATCCTGTGCCATCCATGTGATTTTATTCTTTAGGCAAGAAAAACTACTTATGACCTTAATCCCAACATGGCTTGAAATTTTCTCCCTGAAAATTATCTCGCTGGGGAATTGTCTATTAGTCTGGCCGACAAAGCAAATTCTAAAAGTAAACTCAATAACTTGAATCAAGCCTTGAGAACAAGTAACCATAGGGCTTGGAATCCACTTGAAATCAATCATATCAAGGATGCAAAACATGCTTCTTTTATCTCTACTTGAATTCATCATGCTATTAGGAGCTTCTAATTACAGAGAGTACAAACTAAATCCCTGCGTCTTAATCTTTGAGGGGTCATGGCCAAGAGTTGTCTGATTATCTTAAGAAACGTCAGGAAGCAACAAAGTGCTTATCACGAGACCTAATAGGGTAGGACAAATTTGGGGTATGACAGTAGGATCATGTTCTAGTAGAACAGTAAACACCGCTTCTTCGTTACGCATAACGTAAGCCATCATTTTGGAATATGATTCTTCATAAGGAGCCAATAACCCGTACTAGATCTCTCTACCGGTGGGGGTGGCTGAACAACTGCCTTTTGTGCTTGCACCACGTACAACATTTCTACCAGGAAATTGATCATCAGCATCATCCTATTCATTTGTACATTGTGGCACGGTTCCAATGATTTTCTATATCATAAAATACACAAAGTAACACAAAACAAAATTAGCACCATATGCACAACAAATAAGCATATAACTCTTTGGATAACACACTTCTCACTCTCACATACCGTATATAACTCTTTTATTTCTTCAAATTCTTTCCTTCAAGTTTCTCGCTCCAATTATAACTTCTCGTCAAATTCTTGCTTTTGAGTCTCTATCTTCCTATGAAGCTCTTCTAATGTTTCATTTGAAACCTGTCTGGTGCTTTTTTTTGGAACTACCAAAAACTACTCGCAGGCCTATGTTGTCTCCAACCCCACGGACACGCCCACCATGATCCTTTTTTCCGATTGTTTCTACTAATATCTCATGTCGTGGTTCTGGAAAAAAGGTGTCTTTATGGGATGAGTTAACCAACGAATCCTACACAACATAATAAGACATACATTGTTAATTACAAAAGCTATTTAGATAACACTAAACATATACTAAACAAGTTTTACTTACAATTCTCTCAGCTACCAATCTGGAGGCATTTGAAGTTTAGTCTTCATTTGATCTCAGTCGAGCCCTCTTCAAATTCTCATGTCGAGATGGTGGATGTGGTTCTCGATCATGACTCATGGAGTCCATGTCTCCTAGTTGTTGTTTTTTTTTCTAGAAATCATTGTTTTCTCAACTTTCCTATATCCCCACGAGACAATCTATGGGAGTATTTATTTTTGGACTTGTTCAACTTTCCCCTTCAGTTTTAACCTATTATGAACGTAGGAAAAATATTAATGTCCATCGTTTATCCATAAAATTATCAAAAAATACCATTGGTACTAACCATGAACTCCTCACTACTACAAGACTTCACAAACTTTTTCCAAACCTTCTTGTCAAGATACAAATATTTCACCCACGGGCACTCACTATTAAAACTCCTCGAAGCAGTACCAGCATAAGTTATCCATTTTTTTCAACTTTGAATCATCACTTAATTCAAACGTCAACAACACATTTAAAACAATAATAAGTATATATCATTGTTTATATAACATAATATGGAATTGATAACAATTGAAATTACTACCTGAACGTCTGTCCATATGTTTTTTTCACCTCATCTGATACATCTTTCCAGTCATCTAACAAAATACTGACTTTTCTACATCCAAGAAACGCAACATAACTCTTAAACATCTAAGAATTAGGACCATCCAGAACAATATGAACAATACTAAACTCGACCGGAAGTTTAACACCCGAATTGTGGACTTTTGTTCTGTGGTGCCTCTTTGCTTATTTTTTGTGTGTTCTCCTACTACAGATTGCGAATCATTTGTTAATTTCATTTGTATGTGTACCTTTGTCGCTACTAGATGAAGAAGACTTCATATATCAAGACATAAGCATCAACAACAATAAGCAAGCATCAACAACAAAAATAAGCATCATCAACAACAAATACATAAGCATCAACAACAATAAAAAGCATTATCTTCAACAATAAGCATCAACAACAATAAATAAGCATCAACAACAACAAATACATAAGCATCAACAACAATAAGAATCAACAAAAACAAAATTAAGCATTATCAACAACGTTAAGCATTAACAACAACAAATAAGCATCAACAACAAAAATTACATAGGCATCAACAACAATAAGAGTCAACAATAACAACAATCATCATCTTCAACAAAGCATCAACAACTACAACAACCATCAACAACTACAACAAGCATCACCCTTAACAACAAGCATCAACAACATGATTAAGCATCATCAATAACATTAAGCATCAACAACAACAACAAATACATAAGCATCAATAACAATAAGAATCAACAACAACAACAACAACAACAAACATAAACGACAACAATAAGAATAAACAACAAATAAATAGCAATAGAAACTGTAGGTACTGTAGATGTATGGTATGAAAAATTTTATGCACTAGAAACGTAATGAACAAGTAAAAATATGTTGTCAGAATCTTAAAGTTCCTCCTCGATAGCTAAACCAAAGGCTAGTCAAGAACAAATAACGTTGAGAATGGTGTCGGCTCCCTCCTCGGCGATACGAAAGCAGATGAAAATGTTGTTGTTTCTTCAAGTTCCAAGATGGTGTTGAACGTTTTGTTAGGGTTGAAACTAGTTTTGATCGTTGGGATTGAAATGGTGGTGTACGTTTCGTTAGGGTTGAGAATCACATTGTTTCGTCAGGGTTTGTTATTTGATGGAAATTAAAATATGCAACTAAAGAGACAAGTTAGCTAGCTCTGTGTAAAGTGATTAAAATATATCATCATGGTGGTTTTTTAGAACCTTGTGATATATGATTAAAATTTTAAAAAAGCGCCAGGGTTTTTAGAAAACCGTGGTGATATAATATTTACATTACTGATATTTTAAAAAAAAGTGGCAGGTTTAAATTATTTAAAATTAAAAAAAATCACAACGGTTAGTTAAAATAACCGTAGTGATATATATTCCTTTAATTAAATAAAAATGAAAGGTGATGGTAAATTCTAAAGAAATCATGAAATAGAGCCTTCATGAATTTCAAAAGATACGAGCCTTCATGAATTAGGAATAAATATCTAATTCATAATTGGAAATATCTAATTAAGAATTGAAAATTTAATCCATTTCATAAATCAAAAGATATGAGCCTTCATGAATTTCAGAAAAAATCAATAAGAAAGGGGATTATAGAAAAGCTAAATGAACTAGTTCAACTACGTAAAGAGGAAGAAATCCAAACTGAAGAATCATCATCTTCATCATACTCATATCATACAAATTATGTACAATACTTCGAAAGAATATACTCAGTAGTTGAACGATCCTCGAAAGATACAACATCCAATAAAGGACCCTCTTATTCGAGGAATGACAAAGAAGATGCAAAAATTTCTTTAATACTTGAACGAAGAAGAAGAGGAGCGACATCAACCTCAGGGAGAAACATAAAAGAATCATCTTTCAACAAAGAAGAAGAAATCTTCTAAAAGGTATCGTACGAAGGAGATAGTGTTCCAGATGTCAAACCATCTTACACTCATCTATTTATAATGACTGATAAATTAGAGAAAGAAAATTTTAAACTAAGAGAGCGTATTCTAGATTTTAAGGAATCCGTAAGATATCTTAAGTAAATAAACAATTCTTTCAAACTAGAAACATAATAGGATTTAAAAGGGAAAGAAAATCCATGAACGGTGTAGATCAAAAGGACAATAAACGTCCAATTTATAAATGCACACATTGTAAGAGAATATAATACTTAGAACCCTTTTGTTTTGATAAACTAAAAGGATCTAAAGATGACCACATTAAATATTTTGTGACTAATACACCTAGATCTAAGAAGATATAGACACTAAAAATGAAATCTTAGTGTTTTGCTGGTATGTTTTCCGGCTCTAGGATTTAATTATTGTATGGTATATTTCTAAAGCATAACAAAATATATAAAGTGTCTGATCCTAGGATGAAACGACTAATTGACTAATTTTTTCCTCAAATTTATTGTTAGTTAATATAGTTAGAGGTATTAGTTGTGGTAGTTATAAATTTGTTGTAGTTGTTATGATTAAATAGAACAAATATACTATAACTATTCTCCATAAATGTTTTTACTATATAAACTTCATCTAAGGCACTACCATAATCAATGAAAACTTTCTAGTGGAATATCTAGATTTCAAAAATAATATTTGTTTACAAACAATATAATTGTCAGTCAGGCATAAGAAAGTGATACTATTTATTAAAACAAAAAGATTGATTTTATAGAATGAGAATGATACTAAAAGGATAAATTAGGTTCAAAGCAGTAAACAAAATAGAATCTTAATCTGAACAAGCTTGAGAGGTTTGAAACTTCAAGAATGGATACTTGTGTACAGTTGTCCAACAACAAACAATAATGTCATTGTCATATTCATATAAAATAAGCTGCTAGAATGTAAACTCAAAGTGCTTGTTTCCCACTTGAGAGAGGAATGTTATTAAGCTTCATTCAAAGATTATTATATTACTATTTGTCTGTTCCTAATTCTTGCCAATCATGAATGGAATCTTTATGAATATGTGTATCCAATTCCATTTTGGCATTACCTTGTCTTGTTTGGTATAAATACACTACTAATGCTACTATTTTTTCATATCAATAAAACAAGACTACTCTCAATTCTTACAGGTTTCAAATCAAAATATTATATAAAAAAATGGAACCTACCCAATTGATTTCTCAAGAGTGGGATTTTCTTAGTGGACAGTTCACAGCTGAGGAAGCTGATTTCATGACTCACTTCCTCGGTGGCAATACCAACTATTCTTATTTTCCTGCTAATAGTGCTAATATATTTTCCACCACAACAAACATTGATTCCTTGGGAGAAGATGCTAAATTTAGTCCACAATATTTGGATGATAGTTTTAGCAATCAGATAAGTTATGAATGCATTGATCTTGAATGGTCAGGTTTAGAGCCAGGGAATCTGGTTCCTGCTCTTGGCAACAGCTTGCAAGCTAAGAGGGAGCATGAAATGAATTTTGTTTCTGAATCTCCTTCGGGAGAGGATAGAACCAAAAACATGGAGAATCCTGCAAAGAGATTTAGGAGCTCGAATGATTCGATGGAGCTAAATGATGGAACATGTCCAAGTATAAGCCCAAAAGAACATGAAGTGTCGAACGCAAATTTATGTAGAAAATCAAGAGCGAGAAATGGTCCTGCTACTGATTCTCAAAGCATTTATGCAAGAGTAAGTCCTCTTTGAAATTTATTTCTTTACTGCGCATTTCAATTCGCAAATAACTAATATTCCGTCTTTTGTTGTGTAGAGGAGAAGAGAAAGAATTAATGAAAGATTGAGAATCTTGCAGACCCTTGTCCCAAATGGAACTAAGGTGGACATTAGCACCATGCTTGAGGAAGCTGTTCAATATGTCAAGTTTTTGCAGCTTCAAATAAAGGTAACAACATTTTCATAACCTTCCCATTTTCAATTTCTTACATGTAAAAAGGTAAAGTCTAATTCATTTTTGTTTATTTATTTGGATGGAATGAAACAGATTCTGAGTTCTGATGATACGTGGATGTATGCTCCAATAGCTTACAATGGAATCAACATTGGATTAGACCTCACTTTTTCTTAAACGAAGATGTGATCATGATAGCATAGCAATTCAAAAGGATATTTAGTTTATTTGTATTATTAGACTAATTCATGTTTGTTCATATTTTACTTAAAGTTCAAACCAATACACAAATTTAATTTCCATTGACAATGCATATTATAGTACTAAAATGTATTAGGTTATGTTGATTTTTAAATTGCTTTAAAAATTTGTGAAAAGAAGTTGGCAAGTCAAAATATAATAATTGATTATTTTGCATTCTAGAAGTGAAATTTAAATAATGGAGCTCAACAAATTCAACCAATATTTAAAATGGACATTAAATTTCTTTCCTTTTGACTTCATGTTGATTTTACCTCATCCAATATTGTAAGAGTTAAATGGTTGACAAATAAAATGTCAATCTATTAAATAAATCAAAAATCAAAAAGAGTTAAACTCATTCAAGTTATTAAAGTAAAACATCATATTAATTATTCTCAAAGTTAATTAATACAATTGAAAATCGGCGTTTGGAAGCCACAATAAGACAAATATTTACTTGAAGAAATTTGATCTTAAGGCACAAAACTATATCTTTTTTGGATACTTTAAAAGATTTAAGGCATATAGAGTTTATAACAATGAAATCTTAAGCTTTGAGCAATCAATCCATGTAAGGTTTTATAATAGCCAAACAATAAAAAAGTTAGAGCTAGTTGAACTCTTTGTAAATTTAGAGATCATACAAAAACCCTTAACACTTATAGGTGTTTAACGGTGAGGTATCATTCAGAGAAGAAGATATAGATGACATCTATTTACGTTGGATATGTTGCTTTCTATATTGTTTATGATTTAAATTAATTTCTCTTAAGTTATTGTCTAGGAATCTAGATTAGTAAGATGTAAATATATGTGTGTCATTTTGGTTTGGTTGTAAACAATGTCTTTTGGTTGGTTTGCTGCCTTGTTGAAAACATGTGTATTTTATCTGAAAATTTGAATATAGGTTTATGTCTACATTGCTCCTGGATGGTTTGCTTTCTATTAAAAACGTGTATATAGGTTATATCACAAAATGTGTATATAAGTTATGTCACAAAATGTGTATATATACAAGTCAAAATGAAAATTGTGTAGTATTAGAAAAACGATATTTTCCCTTCGATTGTAATTCTGAACAACCAAAAATTGGCATTGTTGATAGATGGTTATGGCAACTTGAGAATAACAAAGAGTTTTCGATTAAGTCATTTTATGATCATATTGTTGCTGCTGAAAAATATTCTATGCTGGAACCACCGATTCTTACTGCATTGGAGATCCTATGAAAAACTTGCATTCCTTTGAAAATTAAGATATTTGTGTGGCGTATGTTCCTAAATAGATTGCCGACTCGCAAGAATCTTGTTGATCGAGGTATAATAGTAAATCGGCATGAAAAGGCATGTGTTTTTTGCTTTAATGAGCAAGAGGACATTTCATATCTATTTTTCACCCGTCCTAAAGTTAGATTGGTTTGGCTGAGAGTGATTAACTGGATTGGTTTGGCTTGGATCGATGGATCGACAAGTTGGGAACATGATATGGTATGGTTTCTAAGGTTGATTGGTAGGTGTAAACGAGAAGTTGTAAATTCAATATGGTTTGTAACATGTTGGTGCATTTGGAAGACTAGATATAATATTCTGTTTAATGATAAAATTTGTAATGTCGAGTCTATATTCCAATCTATTCTTGTATTGTCTTATAGGTGGTTACCTATTGTGTTGAATAATCGAGGTAGATGTAGTTTGTATGACTGGACAAAGTTCCCTTTGGACTCTTTGTAGGATAGTTGGGGTGGTTTTGGAGTTTTTTTTATTGTAGTTGTATTGTTGGGGTAGAGATCCCCTTAATCTCTATTTAATACAGTTCTTGCTTATAAAAAAAACTAAAAACAATCAAGAGGAAAATTGGTGTGCGCATTCCAGTTTTGTAAACACAAAAATGTAGTTGCTAGGAATCAAACTCATAACCAATACACATTTATCATCGGTATGTATATCAACTGAGGGAAAAAGTGGTGCACTTTCCATGACACCCTTATTTACCTCTGCCAACAAACAAAGGTAAAATCATTTCCCAACCGAGGTAAAATCACTTATTCGCAATAGTGAATGAGAGTGATGGAAAAACTGAAGTTTTTCTTAGGCATTCAAATCAATAAAGGCACAAATGGAATAAACGTTCACCAAACCAAGTATACAAAATAACTTCTTAAGAAGTTTAATTGGCCAAATGGAAGCCAATTAGAAACTCCTATGAACCCGACATGTACCCTGAGCAAAGACGAAGATATCCTAAAGGTATATAGATGTATATTGGATGACATATATATCTTATTGATTCTATACCTGATATTCTATTTAGTGTTTTTTTCTGTGATCGTTTTTATCAGATCCTAGAGAATCTCATATAACTGCAGTTAAAATAAGTTTTAGATATTTAAAAGGTACTTTTAACATTAAATTGTGTTATAGACAAACAAATTATTACAAAGTAGTAGGGTTTTGTGATACTGACTATACTCAAGATAAAGTTGAAAGAAAAAGCATCAGTGAAAGTTGTTAACTCCTTAAAGAAAATGTATACTCATGGGCTAGCAAAAGGCAATAGGTGGTTGAATTATCTACAATAGAAGTAGAATACAAAGAATCTGCAAGTTGTAGCACTCAAATTCTCTAGATGAATCATCATTTAGATTATTATAAGATAATGAAAGTAAAATATATCTTCTACAATAATATTTCTAGGCATTATCCTACAAAAGAATCCAAATTTGCATTTTAGAGAAAAACATATAGGAATTAATTTTTATAAAGAAATTTTAGATATAAAATTTGTTGATATAATATATTGAACAAGTGATTTAAAACATAAGAGGGGTGGATTGTGATATTCAAATTTTAAATAAAATTATTTTATAAAAATATTTTGATTTAAATTAATTTATGTTAGAGAACAGAGATGCGACAACTAAATAATAGAAGATAAAAGAAGGTCGTTGAATAAATAAATTACAGACACGAGGTATAGAAATATCACACCATAGAATTCTACTCATTTGGCCTAATCACTTGTTCTACTCCAATCTCCAAGAGTTTTTCTTTGATATTTCCATTTAAATCAACCTTAATCTTTTCACATGATTAGTCCAAACAATCTTTCACAACAATTTGAGCTTTTGCATAACATCAGCCCAAAAATCGTATCATGACAACTAAATTTTTATATAGGCTCACTCAAAAGCCTCCACTAAATTCTTTTTAGGTTTAGCTAACAACTTTCAAATTTAATACAAATATATCACAAGAGAACAACACTTTTTAGTAAACTCTTCAATACAATATCAATACAACTCAAAGGAAAAAAAAATCACTCTCTTATCACTAAGCCCACATTTAGTGAAAAAGAAAATTTATAAAAGAAATGACATAAGAGAATGATATAAAAGTTTCTATTCAGAAAATCCGTGAGTTTTGAAATAAAAAGTCTCCTTTATATGAGAAAAAATTATGCTTAAAAAGAAAACAATCATTGGACCATTTTAATGAATTAATCATTAAATTCATGTAATAATCGATTAGCTAAGTTAAATTAGGAAAGTATAAAAATACATATCACTTAATTATTAGCCTTTTTAATTGATTAGGAGATGTTATATTTAATTTAATTGATTAAACATACCTTTCAATTGATTAGATTTGCCTTCCCAATAGATTAAGCAAACTTCTAATCCATTAAGCACTTTGCTCTGATTGATTTTAAAAAGATTTATCAAAAAAAGAGAAAAGGTTCAAAAATATTTTGTGTGTTAAGTATCTCAAAACTTACTTTTATTTTTTTACGATAAATTTATCAAAAGATTAAGAAAAACTCTAAGCGTAGCACTGAGATTTTAAACTTTCACATCATAAGTATTCAAATTTCAATATCATAACTGCAATTTAATTTGCTTGATTCCCTAATGTATATCATTTTATAGGAACTTCAATTTTATTTTTCGTCTCACTACTCAATGTAAAACTTGAATGAAAATTCCCTTTATATATGTTATAAGTTATTTCATTAACTATCTTGAAGGATTTATAAATAAATTAAAAACTTTATGAGACTAATTTATGTTTGTTCATATTTTACCTATAGTTAAAAAAATACACAAATTTAAATTCAATAGAGATTGCATATTACTAAATTGTATTAGTTTATCTTGAAATTCAAATGGCTTTAAAAACTTGTGAAAATAAGTTGGCAAGTCAAATTATTTAAATAATTGAGCTCAATAAATTCAACCAATATTTAAAATGACTATTAAATTTCTTTCCTTTTGACTTTGTGTTGATTTTAACTCATCGAATATTGTAAGATTTATATGGTTGACAAATTAAATGTAAATTCATTAAATAAAACAAAACCAAAAAAGTTGCACTCATTCAAATTATTCAAACCAAACATCATATTAATTAGTATCAAAGTTAATTATCCTAAACAAAAAGAAGTTGAACTCATTCATACAAGTTATTCATGTCAAACATCATATTAATTAGTGTCAAAGTTAATTATTGCAATTGCAAAATATTTTTAGACAGAAATAGTAATTCAGCTTGTTACATTTAAAATATGATCCATATCAAATCTATCTAAAACAAGACTCCTACTGAATTGCTTAAAGGAATGACATTCAACTTTGTATATTTTCATCAATTTGAATGCACATGTTACATTTTAAACATAAGTATTTCCTTGAAGAAAAATATGATGTCAAGGCACAAAAGTATATTCCTTTAAATATTAATCAAGTTAATACTGCTGGTTTCACAAATATCAAAGATTAATATAATAAAATGCTTAGTATGAATTGATTCAATTGCATAATGTACGAAAAGTTTCTACACAATGATTCAATAGAAGAAGTTTTAAGTTCAATTGTTTCAGATTATTAATCACAAAGCTAGCTCAACCAGTTATCCAATTCTAACAAAACATAATGCTTA